TCCACAAACACATTTGTAGGGAACAAGTAGTGTGTTATTCTGTAGTGTTGCTCAAATTTGGAAAAGTAGGGACTGCTGAGAGTGTGTCCTCTACTTTGTCAACCCTCCCCCTAAATAAAACACTGCATTATACAAGTTAACTGCTGTCACCTGACCACTTGGTCCAACCAGTGAGAAACACCAACAGGACAATAAAAAATACAAAGTCAAACAGTGAAACTGAGAGACAATTCGAGTTTAATGAATAGACTAGGATGATCGGAAAGGCATTTTAGGCTAAATATTTTTAGATCATAAAAAAAAAACTGAATAACTTCATGACTTGTAAGCTCCTGGGAATATGTCTAACACTGCTGGAATAGAAAGAACACGGGGTCCTACCTCAATTAAAAGTTGTGCGGCCTTGGGCAGTTATCTACGCCCTCTGAGCCTCCTTGGGCTGGGCAGACCTCTCCAAGGACCCCTTAAGCAATATAAGAGTCTAGGATTCTAAGTGTGGCCTAGAGGCCCCTGTGTAGTTGTGAAGGTGGATGTCAAAAATAATAATACAAGGCCACCCAGGGCCATTTAAGGGACACAGACAAGGGCTGCAAGAATTCAGAGTCTTTCCTTCTGACTCTCAAGGGACTGAGAAGACTTCTGGAAGGGAAGGGATTAAACACGTAGGACGTAATACTGCAGCAGGCTCAGCACACTTGATCCCTCCCTTGAAGAGCTGGGATGTGGCCAATCAAATATTTTAAGATGTCAACTTGATATGTGTCAACATAAGCATCTACGGAAACTAGTTTCCAAAAATAAATGATAACTGCTACCTATCAACCTCTGTAAGTGCATGGATTTCTCGAGAAGGGGGCCATGTTCTGTAATACTATCCACAGCTGGTTCTGTAGGACTGCTACTCTTGAGGGCAAAGGAGAGGGAGGAAGAAAGGGGCGTTAAAGTCCTACTTCAAATGTTAAAGTCTCCCCAAAATGTTAATACATGCACAGACAGGAGCTTGAGAAACAGAAACTAAATTTGTAATAGTGGTTCTTCCCGATGATACTAGGCATAATTATTTTTTTTTCTTTTTGCTTATCTGAATTTTCCATTTCTCAGCAATGAAAATTTATCAATTGTGTAATACATTTTTTATGCAAATACATTCAGGAAGGGTAATACATCACATCATGATCAGTTTTTGATACCTTAAGATTAATTAACGGATGTGATTTGTTTCCCACAATGAGGTGGTGATGGGAAATGGATTTTGTTACATCTGGGGTCTGTGAGTGTTAAGCAGTGGAAAGAGGGAAGGGAAGGTGTAAGATCTAAAATGGCAGGGCGCCAGGGTGGCTCAGTTAAGCGTCCGACTTCGGCTCAGGTCATGCTCTCACAGTTCGTAGGTTTGAGCCCTGAATTAGGCTCTGTGCTGACAGCTAGCTCAGAGTCTGGAGCCTGTTTCAGATTATGCGTCTCCCTCTCTCTCTGACCCTCCTCTGCTGGCGCTGTCTCTCTCTCTCTCTCAGAAATAAATAAAACATTAAAAAAAATTTTTTTTAAAGATCTAAAATGGCAGAGGATGGAGAAGCCACACACTTAGCTCACATTATGCTTAGGCCTGCCAGGCCCTCCCTATTATCCCATGGGCATTTAGCTAAAATGAAAGTAGCAACAGTTAACCTTGTTCATGCAAGGCCGTGACCAATTATTCTCTTTATAAACAATTTATCTGTAGATTCAAACTCTAGCTTTCATAACAAACAAGAAAAGGTTCACGGATTTTAATAATAATTTTAACATAAAGAAAAACAAAGGATTCTTCCCCAAATGTTTTGCACGTTGTCTTCCCTCTAACCTGTCTCTGACAAAGTAGTATTTTACGATTTCATACTACAATCTGTGGGCTTCTCCTAGAGGCCTGGTGCTAGTACTCTAGGACTTGTAGAGCTGACATAATTAAATGCAAGGAAACTATCATTTACACTGTGAATTTAGATTGGTTATGCTGATTATTTGCCTCAACATTGTCTGGAAAGGAAGAATCTGCAAAGGAAATTTACAGTGTAAACAACAGTGGGGAGGGGACAGACTGCAGGAATCTGCTCACCTACAATATATGCAATTAATAACCCACTGCAAATCATTTTATATAAGCATTCAAGCCTGTCTTGTATGGTTGGCTCCCAGGGAACAAATGAGAAAGGATGGAGGGAGGTGTGAAGGGGAGTATGAAAGTAAGTGATCCCTAAGGCCTCAAGCAAAATTTAGACATTTGTTGTTTGTTTGTTTGTTTGTTTAGGGTGGGAGAGGAGGAGAGAGAAAATCTTAAGTAGACCTAGGGCTCGATCCCATGACCCTGGGATCATGACCTGAGCTGAAACCAAGAGTTGGTCATTCAACCAACTGAGCCACCCAAGGGGCCTCCAAAATTTAGACTTTTAAAATAAATTTGAACTGTCACCTCCAAGTAGTTGGAGATACTGAGGCCTGAAGGAACAACATTGAAGATGGTGACTTATTTCATTGAATCTGAGATACTATTAATTATAAGATGTCTCATACTTTAAAGGAAAAAACCTACCGCCAACAAACTATGGTATAGCAGCTGTAAAATGCATTCTAATTTTTAAAATATTAAAATATGGAGGGAAATAATCTATCTTAGTATCAATGAAATATAGTATTGCCTTGGCACCTTGCCCCCACCTCTCTCTGATGGGGAGAAGGGCTTCTATTCATCAGGATATGTTAGACTTTCACACTGGGACACCATCTCTCGCCAACTCACTTAATTGTTAAAACATTTAGATCTGTCCTTCTTTGGCACCAGCGTGTATCTGTACTCCAAGTTCCTGTCAAAGTCTGTAATCCCCATTTCTCTCCCATTCAGCACTCAGCAAAAGCTGTTGAGAGACATCATGTTTTCAGGACTGCCTGCAGGATTGCAGCCCATCCATTTTTCTCTACTCTGTTCACCCTTGGATTGAGCCAGATCAGCAGAGAGCAAAGTTCCGGAAACAACTAGGTAATCCCTCATGGAAAGGCTTTTATAGACTCTCCCTCTGGCATCCTGCCTTCCGCCCACATCGGGGACATGGTTGGAAACAGCCTGTTACACTGAATCTGTTGTCAAGGACACAGTGTCCTCTTCATGAGGATCCACTGGAGACATTTTCCAGGTCTTCATACCAGAGATTTTTAAAAATAAGCTTTTAAGAGGTGCCTGGGTGGCTCAGTCAGTTGAGTGTCTGACTCCTGATTTTAGTTCAGGTCATGATCCCAAGGAGGTGGGATTGAGCCCCACATTGGGCTCTGCCCTGAGCATGGAGCCTGTTTAGGATTCTCTCTCTCCCCCTCTGTCCCTCTCCCCCACTCATGGTCTCTTTCTCTCTCTAAAATTAAAAAAAAAGTTTCTAAAAATAAACTTTTAAATCAAAGTAGAACATATATAGAGAGAAGGGTTCCATTCATAAGTGTATAGCTGAATAATCAGATTATAACCACCACATAAATGAAAAAAAAAAATAGATTACCAGCATCTCAGAAACTCGCCATTGCTACATCCAACTGTCTTCCCCAAAGTCAACCTTTATCCTGTTTTCTTTTCTTTTCTTTTCTTTTTTTTTTTTTTTGCATTTATTTACTAGAGGGACACAGAGAATACCAAGCAGGTTCCTCGCAATGTCCACGCAGAAGTGCAAGATAGTGACCTGAGCGGAAATCAAGAGTCTGATGCTTAACTGACTGAGCCATCCAGGCACCCCTAACCCGTTCCCTAACACCACAGTTTTACCTCATTTGGGACCTTATATAAACAAAATCATACAATACATATTCTTTTAGTCTGGCTTCTTTCACTTATCATTCTAAAATTTATCTGTGTTTTTGTCAGTAATGCTAGTTTAACTGTATACTAGTCCACTGTATGTCTCTATCACAATATATTCATTTAAGATGTTTCCAGTTTGGGGTTATTAAATAAATAATGCTGCCATTCTGGTGCATACAGTAAGCGCTTCTGGGAGGATATTACCTAACAGTCAGACTACTGGTTTCTAAGGCATGTACATGTTCACTTTTAATAGTTATTTCTCAAGTTCTCCACTTTCCATTCCCATTGGTGCTGTATGAGAGTTCTTGTTCCACCTCGTCACCAACACTTCTCACTGTCAGTCTTTTTACTTAGTATTTTGTTTATTCATTTTTGAGAGAGAGAGTGAGTGAGAGCGCAAGTGGGGGAAGGACAGAGAGAGAGATGGAGACACAGAAACTGAAACAGGCTCCAGGCTCTCAGCTGTCAGCACAGAGCCTGACGTGGGCACAAACCCTGGAACCATGAGATCATGACCTAAGCCAAAGTCAAACGCTCAATTGACTGAGCCGTCCAGGTGCCCCACTTTTAGCATTTTGATAGGTGTGTAGTAACACCTTATTGTGGTTTCCAAAATTCTCCCTCGTATATTCTCTCTTGTGAAGTAGTTATGCAAATATTTTACTAATTTTTGATTTGATTTTCTAATTGACTTACAGAAGTTCTTTAACTATTTAGGATGGGTCTTTTGTCAGTAATATGTACTGCAAATACCTTCTATCTTGTGGGTTCCTTTTTCACTCCCTTAGTGGCAGCTTTTGATGAACAGACTACTTTAGTGTAGTCAAACTTGTCATAGCTTTTTGCATCCTTTTCGTATTGCCTGTCTGTGTGAAACTTGGTGAGGAGTTAGCCTACTCACAGGGTTCTGCTACTATCATGTCTGTTGGCTTCACAAATTTGATAGAGTATAAATGTAAAACAGAAGCATTCATTTCATGTTTGGTCTCACTTTGGTAACCAAAAGATGAGTGAGATGATTAAAAGCTGAGGCAAGTGATGAGTCACTGAATTCTATTTCTGAAATTATTATTACACTATATGTTAACTAACTTGGATTTAAATTTTTTTAAAAAGCTGAGGCAACAATATGTTCTGGAATAAAAAATTAATATAATATGCTCTACAGCATTTTATGATAATTGGCTTTATTAATGTGGAACAATTAATGCAAGCCATAAACATATAATTAAACGTGTTATTATCACAAGTTAAAATTTACTCTGTTCCCATATTGTCATGTAATTGAAAAAAATAAAACATAACAAAGACTTGCCACCTTGTAAGCAATGTGAAATAGGCTATTGAGGAACAATACCATAAAAGGAAAGTATTACATTACATTGCTGGAATGCATTACATTTTGGCCAAACAGAAAGGTTTGATCCATTCTGACTTATAAAGCAAAATACCAGTGTTTGTGATTTTAAAAATTCACTGAAACTTCTTCCCCGAACTGGTTCCTTTGCAATACATTTTCTTGAGTTCTACCCATGACTGACACAGTAACAGTCCTGGGATCAGAACCCACACACTATTGAAAAATACCAGATAAACCCCAAAGTAGAGCCAACTGTCGGTGTTGAGGTTGGGGCTTCCCATAAGCCAGTCCGGGAAGAAGGTCATCCACCCGCCATACAACTCACACACGCACAGGGTGATCTGTATGAAATGCCTGTTAGAGAGAAAGAAACAAGGGATGAAGCTCAGCTCAGAGAAAGAAACAAGGGATAAGCTGGCTGAGGGCCAGCTCAGCCCAGCTTGTCACCCTGAATTCTGACATCTTTTCTTAAATGGCAGCATTAACGCCATCTTCCACAGCAGAAGAGCTCTCTGAAGGTGGACCTCAGGTTTCCCACAGTGCTCCTTCGATGGGGCAAGTCCATCTAATTAATGGGAGACCCATGCTTGCTCTGGAGAAGCAATACTGCCCTTCCTAGAAGATTATTCTCAGAGCGAAATAAAGTCTCTCAGGTATCCTGTTCTACTCTTAGCTCTTAGGAAGATTTACAGAGGTTACAGCTCACCCAGCAAAGAGAGACCTAGAAGCCACAATTTTACCTGCTATAAAAGGGGATACTAACAGCAGTCTCTTCCTCAAAGAATACAGTGGAGAGTAAATGAGATACATGGGTATGTTAAGTACTCAACAATGCAGATATTATACATGGTTGAAGTAACAAACAAATGGGTACATGTAGTAAATCTATAACCAAGATCATAGAATCAGATATATAGCAAGATACTAGGAAGAAATTTAATTTTTCCTCCCAACTATCTAAGTAAAAGTGGATTAAAGACTAGAGGTTTTGTTCAAACCTGAACTTTTCTAATGAAGCTTTAAAAAATACTTCTTCAGGGTGCCTGGGTGGCTCAGTCAGTTAAGCATCCAACTTCAGCTTAGGTCATGATCTCACAGTTTGTGGGTTCAAGCCCCGTGTCGGGCTCTGTGCTGACAACTAGCTCAGAGCCTGGAGCCTGCTTCAGATTCTGTATCTCCCTCTCTCTCTCACCCTCCCCTGCTCACACTCTCTCTCAGAAATAAATAAAACATTAAAAAAATTTTTTTAAATAAATAAATAAAAAATACTTCTTTGATTCCAGATGCTAGAAAATTTAATCATCCCTACTTGACATTGTTTTGGGAATCGTTCCCAGGATAGCATTCTATTTGCCCCAGGTCACTCTGTCTGAAAGAAGAAAAGGAAGGGAAGAGGTAGGAGAGAGGGAAGAGAGTTCAAAGTCTCAGAGTCTTACAGGTAGTTAATCTTCCACCTTTCTTCTTCCTCTCTTCTGCCTTCCTCACGAACCCTCCACAATCTGTTTCTGAAAAGATTTATCTTGCATGTCTAACTCCAAATTAAGAGGATTTACTTGGTGTAAAGTGGAACGGGAGTTTTCAAGAGTGATTGGGTGGGGAAAGGGAAAGGGATGGAAATATTACCCTTTTATTTTCCAAAATATTGGTGAAAAATCATCCAATGCTGTTCACACTTTCTTCCTCATAGAATGACTAGGTGGTCCCTACAATCCTATTTCCCATAGTTTTTATTTTGAACGATCTGAAATTACCCTGGTGGCACCAGGCTTCTTATCTAATATTGAACAATTTTCATTTCTAATCTACTTTTCCTCTAACAAATGAATGTGGTCATAGTCTACTCCAAATGCCATGTAGGCATCGAGACAGCTAATGTTTCTCCCCTCTTCAGCAGGCCAGGAGACGAGCACTTACCGATAGTATTTCTCTTTGACTATGGCATAAATGAGGACCAATGCCAGAGACCCATCCAAGACAACAGTCAGAATTTCCAAAGACACAATAGTTGGGTCAAAATAAAGCCATCTTGCATCAGCTTTGCCATATTCTTTCCCTAAAAGTGAAATACATTTTGTTACTCATCTGGCAACTATTTTTATGATGGTCAATGGAAATGACCTTTTTTCCCCTAAGGACGGGATAAAAAGAACAACTGTCACTCCCTCTGCTGCTCATAATGCCTTAGCAAAAGGTGAGAGAACTGAGGCTGAACCGCATTTGCCGCACAACACAGGTACTGATGACAATAGCTTGGTATAATTGTAAAAGGATTTCATTCCCAAAGTGCTTTCACACAGTTCCCCTCTTTGTCCCCCTCCCCGCTTGTCATTATAAGCAACAGATTTCTAAATTAATTCAACACAGCCAGATTTTGCAAAGACAATCTTTAATAATAATCTTGTTAACTATGTTACAGTTCCTTACTTCAAAATTCCTATATAAAGTCTGTAGGTATAATCTAGATTTGGGAAAATTATTATTAAGGAAACGTTTATTAAAAAAAAACATGTGCTTATTAATAATTGAAGAGAAACTGAGCCCTAAACAGGTGGTGGGCAGGTGGGGGGGAATGGTAATGACACAGGCTGGATTACAGAATGAATCCCACATGGACAAAGGGGATGTTTCAGTCCAGACAGGAGTCACTAACAACAGCCACCACAAAGGCCTCAGATGTGTTCACAAGGGAGTGGGACTAAGATCTTTCCAGACCCCATTATCAGGATTGTTTCTTCTAGAAAGAATGAGGTGAGAAAGTGTTTTTAGAGCAGAACTGAGAGCCATGCATTGGGAGAGCCAACCCACCCTTCTTTCCTTCATTTCTTCCTTCCTCCTTCCCTCCCTTCCTCCTTCTTTCTCTCCCTCTTCCCTTTTTTAACTTATCAAGGTAATACATGCCAGTCCTAAGATCTCAAATGATCAGAGTGAAAAAAAAAAAAAAAAAAAAAAGGAAAGAAAGTCTTTGGGCACGTGGGTGGCTCAGTCGGTTAAGTGTCCAACTTCATTCAGCTCAGGTCATGATCCCATGGTTGGTGGGTTCAAGTCCCACATCAGTCTCTGTGCAATCAGTTCAGAGCCTGGAACCTGCTTTGGATTCTGTGTCTCCCCCTCTCTCTGCCCCTTCCCCTGCTTGCACTCTCACTCTTTCTCTCTCTCAAAAATAAACATTAAAAAAATTTTTTTTAGATGAAAGTCTCACCTCTTCTCTCCTTTCAATATTGTTCTCACATGATTTAGACAAGGAATGAATGATCAAGCATTAGCTATGCTATCTGACTCATGGAGCAGCAGGACAAAGCTCTAGTCTCTAGTAAGGGCCCAAGGAAGGATCCCTCAGGGCCACGGACAAAGGGTTCTAATGAAAGAAAGGCTGTCTTGGCAGAAAGAAAGGCCAATAAACAGGATTAGTCATTTAATGAGATAACACAGAGACACATGCTGAGCAGAGACTCTGAAAGGCCAGACAGGACCGGCAGCCCAGGCAGAGCTGCCCTGCTGGTCCTTAGCTGACTGCCAGCCCAGGGACTAACTGGGAAACAATTTGCCAGTGAAAGGAATACCTGAAATGCTGCCTCTAGTGCACCCAAATCTAAGGAAGTGTCACTTAAATAAAATGTCAGTGCTTTAGGCATTAAGAGACCAGTAGGTGTTTAGACATTCAAAAATAACAACACTCCTTCATTCTTTTTAAAAAAAAATTTTTAACATTTATTTATTATTGAGAACAGAGAGAGAGAGCATGAGCATGAGAGGGGCAGAGAGAGAGGGAGACACAGAATCTGAAACAGGCTCCAGGCTCCGGGCTGTCAGCACAGAGCCCGACACGGGGCTTGAACCCACAAACTGCGAGATCATGACCTGAGCTGAGGTCAGACACTTAACCGACTGAGCCACCCACGTGCCCCCATTCACTCTTTAATTCAACAAATCTCCTGGAGCACATGGAAGGTTCTGTGCTGGACCTGGGGAATGCAGCATCAGCCTGGGCCTAGCGCACAGGCGGCCCGCAAGGAGCTCCCGTTCCATGAGGTCAAACCGGGTAATAAGTGATCGCAACTGAGCATGGGACACAGAGGAAGTGATGCTTTAAGCCAGATGAGAGAGGTGAGGTGTTTTATCACTTCCTCCTTCCCCTGTTGGTGAGGAAGGGAGTCCAGCCCTAGGATTATGGGGAAGGCCACACACAACAGGTGGCACTGGACAGATGAGGTTGATGGTAATTTACTAGTGACACACACTCACAGCCTGGGGAGAGAGGTCACTGCGCCACACAGGGCTCCACGGTAGCGGGGGTGCGGGGGTTACCCTTAGAGACAGTGAACTAGGAGGGGCGACAGGACCCAGGCCCTGCAGCAACAATGACGGGGTGGCCCCTGGTTCCTGAGGCAGGATGGGATTGGCTACTTCCAAGAATCTGGAGCGCTGGCAGGACACTGAAGCCCACTTGCTCCTCAGGGATCCACAGGCACCAGGCCTCATCCCTGTGACAAGGAGGGCCACGTGGCTAGGGCACCTCACATGAGGAAGCAGAGCGAGGTCTTATGGTTAGGCCACGTGAGGCCCTCTGGATTTTATCAGATGTCAAGGCACACATAATATTGGATTTTAATCTCGGGCCTTACACCGCAAGAGGTGACCCCTGAACTGGCTGAAGGAGAGAGTATTTCAGGGAGGAGCATGGGCAATGCAAACGCCTGTATCGAAGGGAACACGGTATGTCTGAAATCACATTTAGTTCAACAGAGCTGAAGGAGACTGTGTGTGTGTGTGTGTGTGTGTGTGTGTGTGTGTGTGTGTGTGTGTCTACACGCGCGCACACGCACGCGCAAGTGGATGGGGCCCCGAGGTGACTGCTGGAGAGGAAGGAGGTCCCAGTGCATCAAGCCTCTGGCATCTCCTCCTCTGCCACCTATCTCTGGTCATTTTTCTGCTGGTTAAACACCGAGATAGGAAAAGGGCAGACAAGTGGTAGTAAGCCCGATGGCGTGATCGGTATCATTTATTCTATGACTGACTGCCAGGCTCAGGCAGAGGTTTCGAGGGAAAGGCGCACTGGGGCTGGAGTAGGATCCCAGTGCCTGTGCCACAGCTGGGCCCTTCACCCCAGAGTGGTTAGGAGAGGGTGAGGGGTGACAAAGACTGTCTTCTTGACCAAGTCTGAGTCGGGCTCCTCTGAGCCCTCTCCTCAACAAGGCCCCCTATCTAGGGGTCTGTCTTTGGCTTGCGTAGTCCAGTTTTAGCCAAGAATCCTACTGGGTCGCTGTAACAAAAATCCCCCATTCTTGGTATCTGCTCACTCCCCCCACCCAGTTTTATTGAGATGTAACTGACACACAGCACTGTATAGGTGTAAGGGATATGCAGCACAGGGACTTGGTTTACATATATTGTGAAATGATTGCAAGGAGTTTAGTACACATCCATTATTTTATAGAGATACACAAAATAAGAAAAAGGTGCTTTCTTCTTGATAATGTAAACTCTTTGGATCCACTCTCTTGATAACATACAGCAGTGGTAACTACAGTCATCATGTGGTATATTACATCCTCTGTACTTCTCCATCTTGTAACTAGAGGTTTGCACTTCTTAATTGACTTTATCCAGTTCCTTCAATCTCCACTTCCCCCCACAAATCTGATCTCTTTTTCTGGTAATCACAAATTTGATCCCTTTTTCTATGAGTTTCAGTTTTGTTTTCTGTTTTTTTTTTAAATTAGGATTCTATGTATAAGTGAGATCATACAGTATTTGTCTTTCTCTGCTTGGCTTGTTTCACTTAGCATAATGCCCTCAAGGTACAACCATGTTGTCACAATGGCAGAATTTCTTAATTTTTTATGGCTAAACAGTATTCCATTGCATGCACATACATGTGTACAGACACACACACACACACACACACACACACAAACTTCTTTCTCCATTCATCCATCAATGGACACTTAGGTTGTTTCCATACCTTCGCTACTGTGAATAATGCTACTGTGAACATGAGGGTGCAGATACTTGATCACTCTTGATAAGTGATCATATTCCTCATCCATGCCCTCCATGTCATATCACCCTGGCCTGCCTGCAGCAAGAATCCTGTTGAGTTCGTCTCTTAAGAACCCCACAGACCTCGATGTTTCTTCTTAGTAATTTTCCATACACTGACCCTGCCTGCTTCTTGGCTATAAAGCTCCACCTGCCCTTGCTGTATTTGGAGTTGAATCCCATATCTCTCCCCTACTATAAGACCCCACTGTAGCGGTACCTCCTGAATGAATTCTTCTTTATCATCTTTAACTAGGGGCATGAATAATTCTTCTTTACCGGGGTCCACATAGTGTTTATAGGCCAGCTCTAGATCCTGGTGAATCTAAGGATAGTCCACTGATCAACATCTGGGAGGCCTTACCCTAGACCCTCGGAATCAGAATCTGTATTTTAACAAGAGCCCAACACAATCTGGTGCACTTTAAAGTCTGAGAAGTACTACTTTACTTCTATCTATCGGATTTTCCATTTCTCAAAATAAAGGGCACCATCATTAAATGAGTTTTTACTTTTTTAAAGGCAAAAAATATAAACTGAAGATGACAAACATCGTGTTAGACATTTGCACTTCATGGAACTAAGTCAAATCTGGCATGTTCACTTTCTCTGATGCCAGGCCAGGCAGCCAGGGTGGAGGACGATGACCCAGGCTGGGGTCCTGCAGCTCCTGGGCCTCCCCAGCAATTCTCAAGCACGGGTGAATCTGGCCCACTCGTCACATTGCACACGCAACGGTGCACGGCAGCATTTCGCTCCTGAGGCGGGAGCTCAGGCTCCCTGAGATACCGCTGGCTCGGACCTGGCAGGCATCAAAGATGACACATGTTTTGCTTTGAGAAGCACGAACTATAGCTCCCTCAATTCTCCAGAAGTTTCCTAACACTAATGATGAACACATTGAGTTCCAACACAGATCCTGGCTGGAGGATCTGATTTCAGAATCATGGAAGAAATGAGATAAACGAGGCAGAATTTCAGAAGCAAAATCTGAAACAAGTTCCCTTGCGCAAGGCAGTTCTATAATACTGGCAATGGACTCTGCTGTCACGCAGCTCATTTGTCAAAATTGACAACAGTACATGAGAGGAAGTCGATATTAACTGATGGAATGTTAACTGATTTATGGTAAGCAGACCAGGAGGAGTTTTGGAAATTATCTCCAAGACTACACATTTATATATAATAAATTGAAAGTTGATTTTTAAAGTATGGAAAACACCCAGTTTAAATACTGCAAACTCTTCAATCTGCACTCACTAAGAATATTTTTTAATATACAGCTTGAGATATAATTCCCGTGTCATACAAAACACCCATTTAAAGTGTCCACTTCGTGGGGCGCCTGGGTGGCTTAGTCGGTTAAGTGTCCGACTTCTGCTCAGGTCATGATCTCACAGTTCATGGGTTCGAGCCCCGCGTCGGGCTCTGTGCTGACTGCCAGCTCAGACCCTGGAGCCTGTTTCAGATTCTGTGTTTTCCTCTCTCCTGACCCTCCCCTGCTCACGCTGTCCCTCTCTCTCTCTCCATCTCTCAGAAATAAATAAAACATTAAAAAATTAAAAAATAAAGTGTCCACTTCAATGGGTTTTAGTATATTCACAGAGTTGAATCATCACAATGAAATTGTTAGGACACTTCATTAACCGCCCTTCCCAAAGAAATCCATTCCCATTATCATTCATTCTCCATCCCCCTCCCCCCTCCCCCCATGGTTCTAGGCAACCACCAATCTATAATCTGTGCCTATAGATTCACCTATTCTGAACATTTCACATAAATGAAATCATACAATTTGTGCTACAGATACTCATTTAATGGACAGCCACCCTTGCAATTAATCTCCTCAAACATTTCAAATGCAAACATTTTAAATTACTTACACAATGAAGCAATCAAGCCTTCCGAATCTGCAATGTTTCCTACAAAAGACAAGTAGACAAAAGGGCCTTCCTGGAGAGAAAATGAAAACATGCTCTAATTCAGCATCACAACCACAGGATGGCACCGCAGATACATGGCTTCACATAGCGCATCCCCAGAAGCCCACATCCTGGTCTGCTCCCTCCGAGCATCATACCTACAAGCACCTACACAAGCCTGGGGAGTGTGATCCTAGAGCCTGACTCCCAGGCCTTGTAAACAGATACATTGAGGGGGAATGTTTATATAATAAAAGCTGTTTTCAATGTCTGGCATTATAGAATCAGAGGTATGTTCTTATGGGGAAAAATAAATTGAAAATTTTGCACAAGAGCTTAAATGTTATATTAAATAGGCTAAACTCTCAATGATTCAAAAGATTTACACCTTTGGGAAGTACTTCACAGCAGTTCATTTTGACTCCTCTCAAAAAAAAAAAAAAAATCCAAGATCTCTCTTAACAAAAGTGGTATTCACATGTCTGATCAGAGCTGAACTAAATCTTTTTCCTGCACAAAAAGCAAATTTAGGAAAATTAAAACACAGGCTACATTTTAAATTTTAGGTAATAAAATATCTGTAATCACACTTAGTATTTTCCTATCATCAAAGTGTTTCTTTGCTTAAAATTTCAAAACTAATTAAAATTCACTGGGGAATCTGACTGGCATGCTGCTCCTTTAAACAAATTTAAAAAATTTTTTTAAGTTTATTTATTTTTAAGAGAGAGAGCAAGAGGAAGCGCATGAGCAGAGGAGGGGCAGAGCGAGGGAGGCAGAGGATCTGAAGCTGTCAGTGCAGATCCTGACATGGGGCTAGAACTCACAAACCATGATATCATGACCTAGGCTGAAGTCCAACACTTACCCAACTGAGCCATCCAGGTACCCTTCCTTTGAACAAATTTTATTGCTGGGCAATACAACTCTTTTTTCCCCATTTCCTTTTACCAATGCAATTGTTTATATGACATTAAAATTGTATCTCTCCCTAATCCCTGCTCACTTACAGTGCCACTTCCCAGAGTTTACCATTTAGAGCCACTTCTGTATTTAGTTCTGAGGATTATTGTCCTAATTCATAATATACTTGACATTGCTATTTCTTAGACATTCTCAACTAACTGCCAATCCTGAAAAACTATGATTTAATATATGTCTACCCTCCACTTCCCCACACTCTACAGTTTTTTTGGATAGCGTTGGGGAAGAAAACCTTCCTTCTGCACTCTGAGTCCCAGTAGCTGGCCTAAGAATTAACTGACATGATGGACTAACAGGAGGAAAGCAGACAAATTTATTTAATATTTTTATATGTACATGGAAGGCCTGAAAAGGAAAACAAAGACCCAAAGAAGCTATTAGGCCCAAAATTTATGTACCTTTTTACACAAAGCACAATAAATTATGGAGATGTGACAAGACAAAGGGGCTTGGACTAGGGACAGTAAATTGTGGGAAAGTGGCTAAGAAATATATGAGGGAAACTAATGGAAGATAAGAGTTATTTTAGTAGATTTGTTTGTATAGGCCCATTTCAGCACTGACTCCTAGTCTCTGGTGATAAGAACATTCTTCTCTTCCTGTTACACGGAGGGCACCTTCCTCATGGGAAATTTAATGATCTGATATCAGGTAGAAAGGAGGAGGTCAGAGGAGCCTTCCTGCATCTGCTGCTTTCCAACTGCCTTCAGCTCAAAACAATCAATATGCTAAAGTGGCATAGCTTAGAGTGGCAAGTTCTAAACCTTTCAAATAGCTGTATTATTCTCTTTAATTCTTCCATTAGTTATCCAAATTTGTAACTTAAGTATAAACTTAAAACTTCATCTTACTCACTCATCAGTGTCGCACAGCATTTGGACTTCCCAACATATAAGATAAGAATGCTAGCCTCTACCATGCTTTCTTCTCTTCCGCATTTCCAGTGCTCAACTCCTGTCTACTTTGTACACTGCTGAGATTGATTACATTTTCATTCTTGTTATGTAGACATATTTGTCTTCCTATTTTATCTATACGTAGATTCTAAAAGCTGAAAATCAACAGCATTTACAACATGGTGATTATATAAACATCATTCACTGCAAAGGGCTGCAACTACTTTCTCTGTACAGATTAAGTATTTTGACTCCTGTCATTTAAGAAGAATGTGGCAGCTAGAATATCCCTTATTACACTCACAAATTTCTCAAAATAATGTTATATTTTCGTCTGCTACATATTTGGGCCCTGAGTTTCTTATAAGATATTTTCTGTTTATGTTACAATTTGTAATTGCCTTTCTTTTCTCTGAGAGAGAAAACTTGACTTTCTCCCCATCTCATTAATATCTTCCAGCTTCTTACCCATGCTGACCTCCGCCAAACAGAAGCTTTAAAGTTGGTTTGTTTTGTTAAGTTACTTAATTGGTAAGTGGGGTTTACCTCAGAGTATATGTAAAAATTATATTCTTTAAATGATATTTTAAAAAATTACATAGGAGATAAACAGCAATATTTAAAAACAAGAAGTACTCCCCATCCACTTTGAAACATTTTATCTTCACCAATCAGTTTTTTTATTTTTAGCAGAAACATAGCAGAAAATCCACATCACTTCCCTGGGTTGGCCTGGCAACTTTCTAGATAAAATACAGCCACTGGCCTGGCCAGTAGGAGCAATAAGGCTGGGCTGAATCTGATCCTTTGTAGGGCTCAGTCCATCTATCTGTAAGATGAAGGCCCTCCTAAAATTAGATTATGGATCTCATCCTAAAGCTAGACATGACTTCCAGTAGCAATTTCTTTAACTGGAGCATTAGTAAAACACAGACTCTGGCATTAGGTCCAGGACCTTTCCTCAGAAGCAACTCTGTGGATAAGAACAAGATGGGGATCTGGCAATCTAGAACAAGAGGGATTTATGAGTGTATAACAAACTTTCTCCTTTTTATATCTACCTGTTGAAGTTCTATTGCTTTTTCAAATGCCAGCTCAAACCCTCCCTCCAAGAAATCTTCCCAAGCCTCCTAGTGACAAATTTCTCAATCTCCTGTGTTACTAAGTTTGTGCTTCTGTAATCAACTGTCTGCTGGTTATGGGTCTCCAGTCCTCATTAGATCATACATCTTTAGGGTCTGGGAAGTTGTCTTATCTTAGAATCTTTAAGAACCCAGGATGATATTTTGTGTTCAATGTTTGCTAACCTTGAATTAATTACAAGTTCATATAATGAATTACTTAGAAAGATACCCTGAGGGGCTTTTAGAAGGCACTCTATACTTCTTACTACATTCATGTCTCAAATGTAATGGCAGTATGCAGTTGATGCTTGAACAACACAGGTTAGGGGCACCAATCCCTGTGCAGTCAAAAATCCACATACAATTTTTACCTCTCCAAAAACTTAACTACCAACAGCCTACTGATGACTGGAAGCCCTACTGATAACATAAATAATCCATTAACACACATTTTGCACATCATATGTATTACATACTATATTCTTACAATAAAGTGAGCTAGAGAACATTAATTATTGAGACAACCATAGGGAAAAAAACACAGTACTGGACCATATTTATCAAGACAATCCACATGTAAGTGGACTTGTGCAGTACAACTCATGATTTCAAGGGTCAGCTATAACATATGTAAAGTATAATAATATATTCATGCCTCTACATGCTGATTGGATGCTGAGTATCCAATGCTGCCTCTTCTAAGATGCTAACAAAATCAACAAAAGCTAAAATGTATCATGGCAAATAAAAGTAACAACAGCCAGTGTCAATTTTCATTTAAGGTGTTTCAGATGTGTGATTTTAACACAGTATTTTGTACGCTTTAAGACAACTGCAAGTCAAAGCTCAGGTAAAAACAAAAAAAAGTTTGGGCTCTGCAAGCTATTGCTCTCTGTAATTCAATGACCGCTTTAGAGAAAATGTTCAATTTACTTATTTCAGTCTTTAAAGGAAAATTTAGTGGGGAAAAATATTTTAGAAATATTATAGAAATAAATAAAAAATTCAGAATATTTAGAATATTATAGAAATAAATAAAAAACAGAGGGGTACCAGGTGGCTGAGTTAGTTGCACCACTGACTTGGACTCAGGTCACGATCTCACAGTTCGTGAGTTTGAGTCTCACATCAGGCTCACTGTTGTCAACACAGAGCCTGCTTCATGTCCTCTGTCCCCCCCCCACCCCTCTCCCACTAACGCCCCCCCAAAATAAACATTAAAAAAAAGAAAGAAAAAAAGAAAAACTAAAAAAATTTTTAGTAATTTGTATTGGTATTTGTAAAGGCCAAATTAATATTCAAATGTATTTGCAAGCTTTTTGTTTTTAGCTTGTTTGAATGAAGAACCAGAGAAAACAGAACAACATTCATTATTAAGAGCGGGAGACTAAAGTGGAATAGAATAGAATCACTATGTAAATCCTGTCAAAATTTATTAGCATTTCCTATTCAGATTCACAAAATCTGAGTCTAATCAGACTTGATTTTTCCATGTCATGGCAACAGCACCCATCATTGTTTCTGGAAGGATCAGCTGCTTCAGCCTCCTACGGCACCTGGATGACAAGGCTTCGGTGACTTCATAAATCTATGCTGCCCAGCTGCCGTCCCCCTAACGACATGATGACTTCTGTTTGAAGGAACCTGCCAGTGCAGATGGACCGTCGCCTGGTATTAACCGAGGACAGTGCCGGCCTTTTCAGAATCTGCACAAGTTCTATTGTTTCCACATCGTGACAGCTTAGTGTTTTGTTTAGAACTTGAAAACATCTTTTAAGAATATGCCCTTCCCTGCCAACACAGCTATTTCTCAGATTAAGGATTTGAAAGGAAACTTTCCAAGGCTCATCTCAATTGGACAAGTGCATTGTCACTTTATTATGCAGGCACAGGATGAAAATTAAAAGTTAATCCTAGTACAGAGCATGGGGAAAGGGGTCACGAAAGGGACAGAGGAAGACGGAATCAACATTTGCTGAACTCTGCTAAGTGTCAGGCACCATGCCAAGTGTCCTACATCCTTGCAA